CCTTTGACTCTTGACCTTGCTAAAATCTGTCGTAAGATACATTATAAGCACAGGACTGTGCCATGAAAATTGAGAAATCCTGAGACATTACAAGTGCGAAGAGCTATCATAATGTGGGTTTTAACCTTTTCTATGCACAAGTACCAATCAGTTATTACTTTCACATGTCAAACTTTTTCACATATATGTTGCCCTGTAAATCACTAACTTGCTGGTTATCCTGGTAAGTCAGTCTTTCCAAATCCCTTCTCTTATCTATAAAACGTAGAGATGGGATTGGATGATCTCTATTGTCTCTGCCTCTCTCTTTTCTATGGTCCTGAAAAGAGGAAAGTGAAGGAGAAGATAGAAGGGCATCACTAGAAAGACGAGGAAGTAGATAGGGCAATTTAGTCTTACCCTGCTTCCTGTGTAAGTGCACAGTGTAACTGGCAAAGCCACAGGAAGAGCAAATTGTTAAAGACAGGAGAGGGAGCTGTAATCACTGTCCTTATCCTACAGAGAGTCTTGGAATTGCAAATCAGTTACAAGAATTCAAAAGCAGTCACTATGGCCTTTGAAGAGAAAAGTAGTCAAAGATAAAGGAAATTACTTTTTTGAAAATACTTCTAAGCAAAGTACCCTAGGAGATAAAAGACAAAGATTGTGTACATAAGTGTATAGATATGTATTCATACATATATTTTAAATGACTGCAACATTGTTGAAAGTTAACAAGACATCACATTACAATCGAAGCTATGTTCTTAAAAAAATCTAGAATTCTTCATTAAGTGTTTCAAGATTTTTAAAAAGTGCAGAAACTAAAGGTTTACTCCCTTCTTTTTCCCTGCTCACTGCAGGCCTAGAAGTTTTTAAGGAGTCCATTTGCTTATTTATCTTTATGTTGCAATTGTAAAATTGATAAAATATGGTGGAAAAAGTCTAGAAGTAATATTTTAAGTCAAAAAAACCCCAGAGATTGTTATACTTGATAAGCTGTGGCTTCACTGGGGGAATATTAAAGAGGTACTCTGTGGTTAACACCTTAGATCAGGTTACATGAGATAATGTGCCTGTATGAAGCAGGATGATGATAAACAAACTACAGCTTGTAGGCCAAAAATAGCCTCATTTTTCCCAGCTCTGAATTCCATCTGTCAAAATAAGGTGGATGGCATTCACCAGATACCAGCAGCGCATATATAGCTGAACTGATTCAATCTTCTGGGGACTTAGTTTTGTTATTCATAATAACCAACCATCAATTCATGGAATAGTTTATATGAACTACCCTCAGCCCATTCCTCGTCCCTTGCTAGGGACTCAAGTTAGAACACTTTCACATTCTCTCTACACTTCCAAGGCCCCGCCTTCAGGCCCAGACTGAACCTCAACTTTCCTAAAACCTTCACTGACCTTGACCTTGATCTCCTCTCTCTGAAACATCCGACTAACACTGGCTAAGAACTCTTAGGAGCGGGGCCCCGTTGCACTGCATTATCTTAATTAAGTTTTGCAAGAATACCATATGCTATTAAAATCACTCCCACTTTGTGTTCTTACTGCTCTGGCAAATTCTGACTAGCAATTACCGCTTTCTTCTCTAGGTGACGGCTGGGGTTCGGATGTCATTTCTTCCTGTCTGTATCGCAGTACCTCCAAGTAGGAGCAGGTCTCATGCAGCAACAGAGCCTCGTGGTGTCTGGCATGTGGCAAGTATTAAACACCCGTGGCTAGGGCAGTTCCCCCGACCCCCACCCCATCCTCCCCCATCCTCTCAGGAGTAAGAACCACAGAGTCTCATTTAGCAACAGCCTAGGGCCTGGGGCAGGAAACGCCTCGTCCCCTCAGCGGATGCACCAACCCTGTGCTGTGAGCTGCCACTTCCTCCCACGGCTCGGCTCTCCGTGCGCAGGCTGGCAGAGAGGTGGGAGTTAATGTTTAAAATCTTCCCTCCAAAGAGTCATTAGTCATCGCATCACTCTATAACAATGCAAACATACACAGGGGGCCCAGAAAATACCTGAAAACGAGTAAGTTCACTGGAATGAAAGGACAGTTTAAATAAGCACGTTAGTTGTGTGCAACAAGAGAAAGACATTCTCACTGAATTGCAGTTTAATCCTGTGATACAAAATGCTCTGTGAGAAGAACAAAAGTATTTTCTAACTGTCTCGTTTCAGACTCTGTCCCTTAATACATACCTACTCTGTGACTGGCAGGTGTTGATTGAGCACACAAAGGGGTGTAAAAAAAATACCCGCTCACAGTTCACAAAACTCCACACGATGATAAAATGTGCTCAGTGCATTTGAAGGTATAAAATGTTAAAATGGCTTCCCTGGCTGGTGTGGCTCAGTTGGTTGAGTGTCCTCCCCTGCACCAAAAGGTCACTGGTTCAATTCCTGTTCAGGGTACATGCCCAGGTTGTGGGCCTGGTCCCTGGTTGGGGTGCATATGGAAGGCAACCGACTGATGTTTCTCTCACATCAATATTTCTCTCTTGTCTCCCTCTTCCTCCTCCCCAAAATCAATAAAAAATATATATATTTTTTAAAAAAGGAAATGTTAAGATGGCTTTGTCAAAAAGATAAGAGAATGTGAAGAAAAGGGAACCCTCATGCAGTGTTGGTGGGAATATAAACAGGTACAGCCAGTATGAAAAACAGCATGGAGGTTCCTCAATAAATTAAAAATAAAATTACTCAATGACTCAGCAATCCCACTTCTAGGTATATATCCAAAGGAAATGAAATCATTATCTCGAAGAATCAGCTGTACTCACTTCCATGTTCATTGTAGCAATATTTATAAAGCAAGGTATGGAAACTCCCTAAGTATCTGTCAACAGATGAGTGGATAAAGAAAATGTTATGTATCAGCTATCTTGACACACACACAGAGGAATATTATTCAGCCTCACAAATCCTGCAATCTGTGACAACTTGGATGAACCCAGAGGGCATTATGCTAAGTAACATAAGCCAGGCGGAGAAAGACAAATACTATACAGTATCATTTATACATGAAAGGACAACAACAGAAAGTGTCGAACTCATAGACACAGAGAGCAGGATGGTGGCTGCCAGGGGCTGGGGGGTGAGGGACACGGGGAGGGGCTATGAAAGTACAACGTTTAGTTATAAGATGAATAAGGTCTGAGGCTCTAATGGTGACTACAGTTGACAATACTGGATTGTATAATGCTAAGAGAGTAGAAATAAAGAGAAAAGGGGTAAAGGAAAAGAGGTAAATACATGAAGGGGGTGGATGTGTTCATTTGATGGTGGAAGCCCTTTCATCACAAGGTATACATATAACAAATCATCACACTGTATGTTTTATATACTATATTTTTTTTGTCACTGACACTTCATTCAAGTTGAAAACATGTTATAAGATCACAGAGAAGAAAGATTAACGAGGGAAGCAGGGGAGATGGCAAGCGGGGATCAGAAAGGGTTGATGAAGAGGTCATCGTTCACCAGGGCCTTAGAGGAGAAGTGGGGTTTCTGCAAGTGGAGCAGGAGGAGGGACGGACAGGGACGGTTTCTGCCGGCAAGACCAGGCCTCCAGGTCAGAGCTGCCTCAACAATGTCCTGCGGCACAGAGGGCCTTCTGCATAGGACTCACAACCAATCAGTTACGTCAATGTAGGGTCAACCGCAATGAAGTCATGGAATTAATTTTAAAATCAGTATAAGACAAATGTCAAAAATGTTAGTAAAGACAATCATATTACCAAAACCAAGGAAAAACAGAAATCATTAGACCTGATTCTAACGTCCAAGGTATGTCAAACAGAAGGCGAGGAAGCTGACCCCCAAACTGATGAAGTTCTTCAATAGGCTTGGATTTACATGATAACTTACTAAAGATTCAGTTTTCCACTTTAATATTTATAGTACTCTGAACTCAATATATCTCTCCCATATGAAATTAAAGCTGAGCATTTCCATGCAACAGCTCCAAAGGATATGGTCTTTCACGCATACTCAACCTTTAAGTCAATACAATCTAATAGTTTAAGGAAAGAAGACATTAGATTTCAGAGAGCCATTCTGCCTAAAAACACTCTAAATTATTTAAATTGAATTCTTATTAAAGTTAAAATAAAATCCTCTTCAATAGGGCATGCAAGGTTCTTAGAACTTGTGCAAATGAGATCTTTGTAATCTGATTCTGTTTCATCCAGTAAAGCCACATAATGAATATGTCATGACACTGCAGTCCCGGTGGGTGTCTGCGGAATACTTTGCAACTTGTTCTTGAGCCCGAAAAAGGCATGGGAAAATGGTGCAAGCAGTCTCCTTGGTGATCAGACACTAGGTACTACCTGGAACTACTAAACTGAAATTTCTGTTTCCAACAGAGGAAAATAGAGGGATTTTTGTCTGTTTTAGAAAATTATATAATTTTGGAGCTGGAGGGAAATAGTTCTTTCCAACCTAGGGTTTACTGAAGGTTACAGAGATAACAGAGAGATGCTAGACTAAAAATTAGGAGACCTAGATTTCAAATCAAACTTGTCCATGGATGCTCCCCAACTTACAAAGGGGTTACAATCTGATAAGTCCACTGGAAGTTGAAAATATCATAAAGTACAGAATAGGGAACATAGTAAAATACAGTATTATAATAACTATGTACGATGCCAGGTGGGTACTAGAAATACTGGGGGAACACTTTGTAAAGTATGTGACTATCTTGCCACTATGTTATACAGCGGAAACTAATACAAAATAATATTGAATATAAAATGTAATTGAAAAAAATTAAAAAGAAAGTATCATTAAGTCAAAAATACATTTAATACACCAAACCTACTGAACATCACTGCTTAGCCTGGCCTACTTGAAACGTGCCCAGAACACAGTTGGGCAAAGTCTTCTTGTTGCTGCCACCCAACATCCCAAGAGGTAAATATGTCAGCCTGCGGAAAAGATCACATTCCACGTTTGGTGCGGACCTGGTACCTCTTTTGTGAAGCGGCAGCTGAGGACACTCCGGCGCTTGCCATGGCCGACAAAACGCCCAAGGAAGGAGTCAAGACTGAGAACAACGATTATATTAATTTGCAGGTGGCGGGGCAGGATGGTTGTGTGGTGCAGTTTAAGATGAAGAGGCATACACCACTTAGTAAACTACTGAAAGCCTATTGTGAACGACAGGGTTTGTCGATGAGGCAGATCAGATTCCGGTTCGACGGGCAGACAATCAATGACACAGACACACCTGCACAGTTGGCAATGGAGGGTGAAGACACACCTGATGTGTTCCAGCAGCGGACAGGAGGTGTCTACTGAAAATGGAACCTGCTACTTTACTCCAGAACTCTGTTCCTCCAGACCAAGAAGACATGCTCAATGAGAAAACTGCAATTTGGTTTCAACACATCTGACTACTACAGTATAGTTTTCTCTATTCTTTCATTTTTCCCTTCAGCATTCCTTTATTGTACATAAAGTAACTGATGTATGTGCATAAACATTTGCATGTTTTTTAACTAAATGGCCAATGGCATGTTTTGATTGACATCGAATGGAGATGGGATGGGGGAAAATACTGGTTCTGTGGAAATACCCCCTTTCTCCATCAATGGCATGCTCATTCAGCTCTTATCTTTATATTCCAGTAAGTTATTCTGCTCTCACTGTTTAACAAAAAAAAGAACAACACAGAAATCCTTGCATACCTTGTTTGATTGGAGAATTTTAATGTTTTTCATTTATCGTTGTAAAACCAAGGACAATTTTATAACTTTTTTGTACGTAGCTGTTACATGTAGGGTAATCTGTCTTTAAGTAGGGGTAAATTACTCTAAAAGAAATGAATCCTAGATAGTTTTCCCTTCAAGTCAAGCATCTTGTTGTTTAAATAAACTTCTTGTTTAAATTAAAAAAAAAAAAAGATCACATTCCAAATTTGAAGTATGGTTTCTACTGAATACATAACACTTTCACACCATCCTGAAGTCAGTCAGTAGCTGTGGTCACTCACTAGCTGTGTGACTCGGAGCAAGTTACTTTACTTCCTGTGGGTCAGTTTCTTCATCTGTACAACTGTAAAAATATAAACTAGCTTGCTGGATTATTTTAAAGGACCAAACATACATATTTAAGGTGCCAAGTACAATGCTTAGCATAATAGGTATGCAAGCAGCTTAGTTATTAATATGGATCACAAAGCTGAGTGTTGAATCAAGAAAGATCTTCCACGTGTCAACGCACCAGATCATCTGGGGTCTTTTTATTTTGCTCTGTTCTTAAAAAAAAAATGAGAGAGAGAGAGTGTGTGTGTACACACAGGAAAACTACATAGTGGGTACAACCATGTACGCACTTTCTATAATAATTTGGGTGGTTTTTTCCCAGCCCAGAAACAAAAAGATTTTCCCAATCGTAATCTGGGTCTGACGACGAGCACATGGGGCTCTGCGAGCATGACCTAGCATCTCCGGCGAGAGCTGAAAGCTGCCGCAAGCAAGGAACCAGAGAAGGGAAGACCCCTGAAGGGCCGCCTGGGCCGTCCAGAGAGGGTGAGGCCGCCCAACCGCAGGAGGCTGGGGTGAGGGATGACGAGCTGAAGCCCAGCGGGCAGTGAGCAGGCCCTGGCTCCCGGAGAGCAGCTGCTCCAGCTGCTCCTCGGGGCTTGCCAACTGCTGGCATGCCCGGGCGTGGGCTGCCAGATCCTGCATGCTGAGAGGGCCGGGTGTCCAGGTTTTACATGAAATCTCCTGGTTTTTTAATGCCAGCAACTAATTCACCCTGCCACCCCCTCCTGCCCAGTACACATACACACTTGTTTTTGTACAGGCCAAACAAAACACCTCAACAGGCTGGATTTCCACCTGGGGAAATCAGTCTCAGACCCTCGAAAGGACAAGGGCAGCCAGGTGTGGGGGCTGGGGCGGCATCCAGCCTTCCACAACCAGATGAGGGCTTGGAGCGAGGAGCGAATTCTTCACAGAACACTGCTAGGCAAGAACCTGGCCTTAGGTGCTCGGGTTTTCCACTGCCTACACATTCGCAGGAAACCCTGGGAACGAGCACTGGCCTAGGACACATAAACCTGGCTCAGGGCATCAGAGTGCAAGGCGGCGGCGCATCTGGAATCCAGGCCTGTCCACGAATTTCGCTGCCCTCATGTCCTTGGGATTCAGTGCTCTAGGCCTCTGGTGTTTCACAGAGTATCGGGAAAAACATTCAAATTGACTCTGAGTTCTCTGGAAACCCATTCCAGTTCACTAAGCTGCAAACGTTATTAAATGCCCTTGAGGCGTTTATCCGAGAACCACTGCCTGCTGGTGGTGACCGAGCCCCGCAAGCTGCAGAAGCTGGTCTGCCTCCCTCGGAGGAGGCCGAGGCTGTGGGCAAACAATACGGAGAAGTGGAGGCGCTTTATCAACCTGAGTCCAGCAATGCCTCACGTGGGCAGAGATGTGCATTTGTAACATCGGGGTTAAAACAGCAGTTGGAGGTGTGCTTCCTTCGACATACCTGGGCATCAAAAAACTTCTAAGAATGTCAAAGCAAAAAGGCTTCCTCATTCTTCGGCCCATTTGAGAAAGGGTATGATTAACCTGCTAGGTTCCGAGCTCTGTAAGGATGTAGAGCAGAGGCAGGTAAACTTTCTGTAAAGGGACCAAATTATAAATCTTTTAGGTTTTGCAGGGCGGTTTCTGCTATAACTACTCAACTGTGTCAAAAGCAACCACAGAAGATATGTAAGTGGATGTGCATGGCTGCGTGCCCATAAGCTTTATAGACTCTCCCTGGCCAGGGAGCTCAACTGGTTAGAGGGTCATCCCCATACAAGGTCGTGGGTTTGATCCCTGATCAGGTCACACACAAGAATCAATCAATGAATTATGTAAATAAGTGGAACAACAAATCAATGTTTCTCTCTCTGTCCCTCCCCCATTCCTTCCTTTCTCTCTAAAAATCGATAAAATAAAGCTTTATAGACTCTGAATTATGAATTTCATGTATTAAAATTTTTTTCTTTATTGATTTTAGAGAGAGAGGAAGAGAGATGGAGAAAGAGATAGAAACATCGATGAGAGAGAACATCAACTGGCTGCCTCCTGCATGCCCCACACTGGGGGTTTGGCCCACAACCTGGGCATGTACCCTGACTGGGAATCAAATCAGGGACCTCTTGGTGCATGGGTCGTCACTCAACGACTGAGCCATACCGGCCGGGCTCATGTATTTTTTTAAAGTATCACAAATATTATTTTCCTATTGATCCACCCCCTTCTCCCATTCATTCTTGGCTCATAGACCATACGAAACCATTCAGTAGGCCAGATCTGGTCTCTGAGCTATAGGAATAGTCTAATAAAAGGAAGCAGTATTTATTTCCTGGTCAATTACCATGAACCAAGACTGTGCTAAGCACTTTATTGGATCACTTCATTTCACTATGACAACGACCCTAAGAAATATTCATATTTTACATATAAAAACACTGAGGCTTGGAACAAGCAAGTAACTTGCCTAAAGTGTGTATAGACAGAAAGGGATTATCCAGGATTGGAACTCGACCACACCAGCTGTGGGCTCCATGCTACATACTGAGGGTCACATATGCACAGAATGGTTCTCAACTCTAGCTGGACATCAGACCCTTACTGGAGTTTTCAAAATACAGGTACCTGGCCCTGGCCGGTTTGGCTCAGCAGTTAGAGCATCAACCCTTGGACTGAAAGGTTGCAGGTTCGATTCTCAGTCAAGGGCATGTACCTAGAAGGCAGGTTCGATCCCTGGTTCAGGTCAGGGTCATGCAGGAGGCAACCAATAGATGTGTCTCTCTCACATGGATGTTTCTCTCTCTCTCACCCCTTCTCTCCCTTCCACTCTATCTAAAAAAAAAAAAAAAAATCAATGGAAAAATATCCTCTGGTGAGGATTAACACACACAAGGAAAATATAGGTACCTGAATCCTCCAATGTACTAAATCAGAATCACTGGCATGGAACTCAGGCATCTTAACGTTGAAAAAATGTTTTCCCCCACAAGTGCTTCTGGAGTATCATGAGGGCCTATGCCTAGCTCTTGCTTTGTGGGACCAACTCTTACGGACATGGTCCTACTGATAAAGACTTGTACATCTTAAAGGCAGATAGACCTGCTATTTGGACCTGTTACTTAGTTCATGTTCACAATCACAGGCTAGTTCTTTAAAGGAATCAGGCCCACAAGAAGCCAAGGCCCAGATGGTGCCTGGGGTCTTATTACCAAAGCTATATGTGCTGAAAACGACCACCACAGAGCTGGGCATGAGCCAAAGTTGAACTAAAACTGGATGCCTAAACCATATCAAGAGCAAAAGGGGCAAGGTGGCTAGAAAAGGCAATATAAATCACGTAAGAACTTTAATTAATACATTTAAACAGAATAAGCCCAGACCAACCAACGGGAATGGGGGCAGCATTTATTTTCATGACTACAGTGGGTTCCCAGTGGTCGGAGTTCCCCTGCACAGCTCTGGGAAGTGTTTAAGTTTCTGGCTCAGGGAAAAAACTCACCACAAGAAACTCTTGTGATCTCCCTTGTTAGATCGAACTCAATGGAAACCACACAGGAAGGCAATGTGCCCAGGAAATGTGCTTCCACTTCAGAATGAAAATGCAGAAAGCTCCTGGGACACGCACAGGAAAAGTCTCTCATGGCCCACAGAGTCCAGCCTGGTACTTTACACATTGGAGCTTTTCAACCTGGGGACAGGGCCCATCATGTCTTCCTGAGCTTCCCCTTGTCAGAGGGCACTGGATCGACAGATTCATTGGAACCCACTTGAATGATGTCATTGGCCCCCTGAAGTATTCTTGGGGCAGATCTACTCTCCTACTACAATTTTACTCTTCCAGGGGAGCTCCTGACTCCTTCCACCTTTTCTTTGGGATGATCCATGGTGATGTGCTTGCCACTGTCTCTGCTGACACTTCCTTTTCTTTACGTAAATGTCTCAGACACCAAATGTGGACCCAGGGCCCTGAGTAGTCTCCAGTTTTCACTGGGATCGAGTGCTTGCTGTCCATCAAGTATGCAAGAAGCTTGGGGCTCTAAAGAGAGAAGTTGGACATGGAGCAGAATTAGATGGCTGAGCTGAAGGGGCAGCCGAACCCTGCGCCACGGGCTGCGGCCCTTGTAATGAACGTTTGTTGCCATCAGCGAGAAACTGCAATAACGGCACCTCTGAATATAAAGGACAACGAAACCTCTTAAAACCAGGGCAAATCCACCGCAGCTGCACGCCTTTACTTGCTGGGGGGGTTACTCAATCAGATAAATTGTTTTG